AGAGGTTCTGTTTAATCTTTCATTTAATAGTCAGGATTTTGTCAAAAAGGGCTTGCATTAACTAAGATTAAACTAATATTGCAGCTCATAAAAAATGGTATTGTTATTAAGATAACGTATGCAAATAATAAGTTAAATGTTAATAGTAGCTGTGCTATATCAGACACAACCTGTGAGAACACCAGTTATTTTCATTATCTGTTAACATGGACACCCAAAAAAAAAACAAGCGTTGCTCACGCTCTGCTCGCGTGTGCGGTGTGAAAGAGGCACAAGTTTCAGGTTAAGCAGTGCATGCAGGGCTGGTACGTGGAACCATGTTTTTTTTTTTAGCTTTGATTAGTGCTGATTTCAAATGCAAGTATCAGTGCTCATAATTGGTGGGTGTGGCTAAATTTAGGCTATTGCTTCTCAGTTTTTTGAGGAAAAAAAAGTGCTACCAAGCAAAAAGGTTAAATTTGAGCCCTGATATTGTATAAGATATTATACCAAGTGAGCTGATTAACCCGTTTAATATTTTAGAGGTTCTCAGAAGCAGAAGCTGTCATATTTGAGTAAACTTTTATATATGAAAACTTGAACAAAAAATATTTTTGTATTTTTCTGTTGCCGCAATAACTCAAACAGCAAAGAAAAATTCCATTATTAAATAGAAAAAATATTGACTGAAGAGACAGTCCTAAGAGAGAAAGATCATTATTCAGTTCAATGTTGATTCAATTCAGTTATAACAAAAACAACGTCAATTTTGTTGGCTTCATTGTTATTAAAAAACCTAATAATCTGTAAAGCAGCTCTCCAGAAGATAATATTGTCATTATCCAGCTCATCTTAGTTTATGATTTATTCTTGCCATGTTGACGGTAACAAAGGAATCTCGTATACAGAAATGAAGATGGTCAGGTTTTAGAAGATTCATAGATGTAGGGAGTCCATGCCTTAAATGAGAGAGAGAAAGAGAAATGACAGACTTGGCCGTGTGCCTGGCCCTCAGGCCAGAAGCTTCAGTCCTTCTTTGCCCAAGAAGATAGAGCTCAAGTGAAGAGGAGTTAAAAGAAGCAAGAGTGAAAGAAGAAGACAGCCAGCATATGTTCCTGTCTTCTTTCATTCTGCCCTTGACTATATGACTTGGCAAAACCTAAGACATTCAGATTGACCGGAGCACATTTCAACCCGCACAGCACTACAGGCGTGGAGCTGGTGGGTCAGACCCCCAACCTTCAAACATCTCACCCACCACGAGCCGATGTCAATCTGCAACTGTGCGATATGCAAAACTTCCCTTATAATTGGAAGGTAGAGTTTGTGACGAAGGAGTAATTAGTGGTAATTAATTTTTGTAATTATTTTCCACCAACATATTAGGAGTGATTCACTTAGGTATGACAAATTGTTTCTCAAACTATTCAGAATCAACCTCACAACAACTCATTTTCAATTATTAATAATTCTGTTGATGTGGAAACACTATATAATTCTTGACAATTTTACCAGCCAAGGGAAAAGGGCAACAAAATGAACTTAATTAAGAGTCTAAATAAACATATTTTAGGTATTTTGTGCAGAATTTATATATGTAAACGTTTAGGTTTTTGCTTTAAAAAAATCTATACACCAATTTGGCAGGATTACTTATATTTTTGAATGGAATCTCTTTAACACTTTGTTAACACACATCATTCATTAGTTCATGTATTTACTGACATTAACCAAGACTGAATAATCTTGTAAAGATTAACTATAGTTCAGCAATGGCAAATGCATTATTAAAAATCCATGTTGTGCTTGTTAACATTACTGAACACTGAGTTAACATGAACTAATGTTAAGTAACTAAAATAACATTAATGTTAACAAAGATGAATAAATACCATAATAAATTTATGAATTACCATAATAATTAACATTACCTAATGATCCATTATTTTAAAGGTGCCATATACTGAATTGGTTTAATAAGTTAATTGTTCCCAGATATCTCCATAGTAGGTTTATGGCTTCAATAAGTAAAAAAAAAACTCCAGAAGCTCATTTATTACTCCATAAAATACCCATAGAATCAAAAGGTCCATAATAGACCATATATGGTTTGTGTCTTGAATATTATTGAGCTCCGATCTGATGTGCCGCTCTTAAAGACACATACACAGCATGATGTACTCTGAACACTGACAAATTTAAACCCATCACAGTAACATTAACCTATTTTTACCAACAGATCTGTTGTGGATAAAGGCCAAAAAGAGTAATTGAGATGTATGGCATTGTATTTTAGTCAAATATTATATTATCAAATATTTCTATAGTCAAAATAAACACAGCCAGGATTTAATATCAACCTCTGCATGAACATAGGACATTTGAGCTGAGTGATTTTACACAATTCAGCAGTCTACACTTGTTTGTTGAAACATACACATCGAATTTCACAATAAACACAATGGGCTCTATTTTGACGATCCATGGGCAAAGTGCAAAGTGCAGGGCGCAAATGCATTAAAGGTGTGTCCGAATCCACTTTTGCTATTATAAGGACGGAAAAATCTGCTTTGCGCCGTGGCGCACGGTCTAAAAGGGTTGAGCTCTTTTTCTTAGTAAGTTATAGGTGTGTTTTGAGAATAAAAAAATCAGAGTCTCATCTCCTATTCCCTTTAATAGTCAGTCGCGAGATAGCACATTTGATATTTACATGACGGACTTTGTAAGTGAAAAAAACTGAGCATTTCATTAGCAAGAAAACAGTTAATCAGACCATCTACGGCATGAGAATGAGAGATGAGCCTCCTCGTTATTTACTTTCACACACAACTAACGCGCTCTGCGCTGGACAATAGACCAGCTTTGATCTGATCTATTTGAAACGTCTATTTAAGTTCCTCAAGATATCAACGCGCCAGCAATGCACTTCAACACGCCTCCCTTTTTAGATTAGAATGCCTATGAGCGCAAATGCATTTGTTATTTAAACAGCATGGCGCAAAACGTCAAAACGACTCTTGCGCCAAGCTGAAACTAGCAAACAACAATTGCGTCGTGCCTTGCGCCACATTGCGCCGGGTGTATGATAGGGCCCAATAAGTTAAGAAAAGATGTACCTACCTTATGCCTCTTCAGAGTGGAGATTATTAAATGTATAATCTGTAAATCTTGCAAAATAAACTTTGTCAATTTGAGGCCAGTTTAAATATGCCTCATGCTGTTGTTGCCTAGTAACGCAGAGTAAATAAATTGCTGATCGTGTTTTCAAAATAAAAGTCCTACTTACATAGTAAGTAAAATGTAAACTTAAAAATAATGAAGGGGGAAATAATCATTGTTGTCTCACTAGAAAATGTTTTTGCTTATTAAACGCAGCATGAGACATGCATTTTAATGATCTTTATTTCTGATCTCAGAGCTTGATGACATGGCTGCTCGTCAGGTCTGGATAAATGAACTTAAGCAGGCATACAGGCAAACGAGGAGGGCATGGCACGTAAGTCTTGTCACAGTTTGTTTTGACTTCTAATTGGACTGTTGTCCACCAGGGTTTAACACTCATGGAATTTACATGAGAATAGGAAACAGTGGTGTCTGAGGCTCACAGTATGCCTATTTCCATATACTGATCTTCTATTATTCTACTATGCCTTCCTATACCCACATTTTTATTCTAGGGCACCTTTACAGTCTTACCAAAATCTCTTTTGCTCACCTAAATAACTATTACAAACACACACATTTTTTTCTTATAATTAGTGTTGGTTTTCAGGATACGTTATTAACAGAATGTTTAAGTGAAGTTTACTCATAAACTAATTTCGAGAGGATCACGTGCTTATGATTTATCACGGCCAGTCTCGCATTTGCTAATCACTAATCTTCCAATCATACGAGCCCTAAGCTACTATAAATAGCCTCAGTTTTCAGTTCACTTTATCTTCGTTTGGAAGAAACCCCCCTCCTCCCCTATTCTCCTCCTTTACCTGTGATTGGGTGGCACGGCGGCCCAGTGGTTAGCACTGCGAGCCACACAGCAAGAATACTGCCGGCCCTAGTTCCATAGGACCGGTGGGTGTTTCTGTGAGGAGTTTGTATGTCCTCCCCGTGTCCGCGTGGGTTTTCCCCGGGTTCTCCGGTTTCCTCCCACCATCCAAAGACATTCAACATGCATAACAATCAAGCTTGTCTAATCCCTTGCGTTCCCTTAGCTACAGCAGCAGGGGAGTTCTGAGATCCACCGAGCTCGGGCTCCCCTCTTGCTCTGCCAACGGGAGGAAGCCCCGGGCTCGAGGAGCCCTTGAGCTCGGGGCTCTCTCCCGGGACAGAATGCCAAACAAGCTTTTGTAAATCATCAGCTAAGTGTGAACTCTTGAAAGGAAAAAGAGATATCTTGATGATTCGTATTAATACAATTTTGGTTTGAGCAATACTCATGGAAAGATGTATTCTGCAAGACACCAATACAGTTGCATTATATTTTACAAAACTATATACTTAAAATAAAACAGCGCAAAGTAAAAGAGTATGGGGGATTAATATTATATTTGTGCTTTAAAGATGCACAATTTTGCACAGTGCACGACCCACTTTACACTTTTCATTTTGCTAATGTTTGAGGCTTCTTTTAGAGGCATGCTCTGATAGCGATCACATGCAAAGTGATAAAACATAATTAATAAACTGTAACCTGCCAAACTGATTAGTGCGCTGATTTGCATTACCCACCACTGTCAATTATCACCCGTATTTGGCAGGTTAGTGGGTGTTAATTTCAAACCCTGTACGTGTAAGATGTAAATGTATTTTGCTAAATCCTCATATTGTTAGCATGCAATAAAGAACGACTTTTTTTTTTTTTTCAAGAACAACTGCAATACTATTCACTAGAAATGTTGCAGCAGTGAAGGCAGACTTTCCATTGAGAGTCATGTTTAAATTCGGTGTCTATTCTCTTTGATTATTGTTCCGGCTGGAACATCACAGCCTTGTAAATCTGAACAAGGTGCAAATGAAAGTACCCACTTCTGCACAGGAAAGCAACAATAAACCCAGACTCACCTTGGGAAGCTGAAAGTAACTTCTTAGGTGCTGATGTTTCTTGGTGGCTCACTTTCAATGCCGCGCTGCTAGAAACTCCTTCTGCACTAGATGAAAACTTCAATTTGATGACACATTTCCCAGAATTTGTCTGTGAAAACATTTCAAAACTTTCCTTTAATGGACTGTACTCAGGAGTTTACCAGATGTTAAGTGCTTTAAGTTATTTCCTTCAACTGTTCAACCTAGTTTTGTGTAGATTACACAAGAACACCTTCCACAGTGCCAAGTTGTAGAAAAACCCTTTGCCTTAACTCTCACAAAAAAAGTATTCTAGATCACATTAGTAAGACACTGTTTGTTTTCTTGCTTCATTTAATGGCAATTAATTCCTTTTTAAACAAGTTGCAGTACAACTCAGGTTCTCAGAGAGACTGAAATTAAAAGACTTAGTGTTGACTATATTGCATTCAACAATTAGGATGCAGCACACAAGAGTAAATAACAAAGCTTTGTGTTGATTATTTATAGCCTTTCAGCAAAATTACCCATTTAATTTTCAGCATGTCACAGCATTGTCCAAGTGTTATTAAAATGCAAAACTGTTACCCAACCATGGCGCTGGGCATTTACTCCCTAAAGTCCTGAAGGCGCTAGTCTATCAAAACGCTGCTTCAAAGAAGTTACTAAAGTACTGTATGTTTGTTTTCTGACCAATAGTACAGTACATAAAGTAAGTGAAGTCAGGACTCCAAAAATTGGTATATATGCTCTTTATTCAAAGATGCTGACGTTATATCTGGAGATTTGTTCTGTTCCATTTGCACTAGTGCAGTTTTCTTTTAAAATGGCGTTTTAGAAAGAAAACACTCCTCATCCAGACAGGCATTTTTATTGCAATTCAGAATAGCGATCTCTTTCTTTGCATAGTAAAATGCATGATATGTGACCATTCACACTCACTTATTATTTGGTGGAATTCGTACTTACAGACTTCAGCTTGTGTAATGATCATATAACAGAGGTTTCATGAATCAGGAACAATACAGAATGGTCCAGAAGACCAATCAGGGAGTATTTGTGAATAGCCATATTTCATCCATCTATATTAGTGGTGCCCAGACTTTTTTGTATCAAGGGCCAAAAATCAGATATCACTGAGAGCCATGGGCCGGAGGTAAATATACCAAACTCTATTACATTAAAGTTGCCATGGGTAATTTTTTTCATAATATTTTAAAATCAATAGAACACATTACTTTAAATGGTATTAACTAATGCAGTATAACTTTGTAAATGACAGTGGAGTTCAATTCTGAATAAACTAGTCAGGTGGAATCTGCTTTTGACCTGATTTGATCACCAAAGTCTCTGCATTGTCGGGTGACAGTATGTACATTTAAACAAAATCTGATTAACTTACACCATTTAATTGAAAATTAATTAAATTGCTTTTAACAAAACAACCAAAGAATTGGTTACAAAAACTTTTCATTTTTACCATGGTAAAAAAAAAAAAAAAATTCTTTTTTAAAGTTTACCATGGGCCAACTTTGGTCCATGGGCCCTACTTTAGGCATTTCTGGTCTTTATACAGAAACTGAACATCAGCATTTACAAACTAAATGTGATCTTTATCATTTATAAAATGCTGCATTTTTGCATATTAAAAATGCGTAGTTTTGACGTCAGGTGTAACCATAACAAAATGGATGTGTTTTAAAACAAAAAACGAACTAGTGTATACAGCATCTTGGCATATTAAATAGTTCCATTTGAATAGTAAAACTTGTGTATGTGTTGTGTGTAGCAGGTAATATGGATTATAAATGGAGGTGTGGCTTGAGGAATATAAAGATTACTATAGTTGGAATGAAAGCTAAGTGTCTTGTTTATGGCCAGCGGAAATAGATTGATGCTCCAATTTTTGTGCAAGGAGTTCGCATGTGCCTTTCTATTGGCCCATTGAGACTGATATGCATGATTTGAACAACAAATTAAAGTGTGTGATTGTTTTTGTTAAGCATAATAAATGTTTCACTGTGCATTTTGACGGAAACTAAGGGATGCTTCCATTGTTTGCATGCGAGGCATTCACATGTGGAATCTATTGGATCATTGAGAGTGGTACGAGGAATTTAAGTAAGGAATTTTAATGTGTGTTTGTTTCTTTAACATAATAAAAATGTTTAATTGTGCATTTCAGCTCTGTGGAGCCCGTTTGTTTCTCTTGTTTTGTTTTGCATTTGTTCGATTAATTTTGGTTTGGTTATTTTGTCTAGTTATTTTTGTCATGTCTATTTTTGGTTGTTTATTATTTAATGTTTATTTCACATGATTGGTATGTCTAATGAATTGACAATGTTTTGTGTGTGCGTGTGTTCCCTAGGTTTAAAAGCTCAATCTCTATCTGCTGTGATATACAGTTCTGTAAGCAACCAATAAATCTTGACAAGTCTGTTCATAAAATAGCTGAGTTTTTGGTGGGTGTTGAAAGTCAGGGTGGGCCCTATAATGTGTATTTCAACTGTTTAATTTGTAATAACACAAGGAAATACACAGTTGCTGAGGAATACTCAGGAGAATGCCTGCTAATCAAATACACAGGCAAAATCAATGAAATATTAATAAGTCATTATAGTGTAGTCAATATATACTTTATTTCCTGGGAGCTTTTTGCTTTTCTGTGCATTGTTTTCGCATAGTACAATAAAACATATACTGTAATGAGCTATAATTTACCTTTTTGTCAAATAAACACATTTTTTTGCTTTTTCTTTTTCGAAAAATAACACATTTTTGATATTTTGATGGTTAAATTAAACTTGTATGGAAATTAAAAGATAATATTGGGCTAATGCTACTACTAGACATGATATTTTTTCCAAACACTTTTTCCTCCCTGGACAAAGACATAACTCAGCCTTTAAGCATGCTAAAATACAACATGAAGACAATATTGATCCTTATTCTTTCACTCAAACCCAAACAAGCATGACCTCTAAAAAGTGAAATCCTCACACATTCAAACTAAGCGTATTCAATGCCGCTGATGGAGCATTTATTGTAACTAAAGTCTGGGAAAGTTGCCATGGTGAAAGAGCCACAGAAACTGCAGCCCGCAATTTCCTAATCATGTTAATCGACTATAATATGACAGCAGTACAATAGAAGAGACAGATAACAGTTAGTTATGAGTGTGGACAGAATCGGCACGTTGTTGAGACATTCCTGTTCAACTGGCCTTCAAATAAAATAAAAAAATGTTCAGGAGCGTCTGGAGAACAGGATGAGTTTGTTAATGACAGGTAATGAAGAACATCATGTAATAATGTTGTTTGGTACTTATTATACCTAAGACGTGCATGCTGAAATGAGACGCATATTAAGATCTAGTTGTCAGGGTCTGGCAGGTTTCAGATCTCCGTTCATTTTTTTTTTTTTTTACATATAATGCCATTTTCAAATTATCCAGTTTTCCATGTAAAGTATGATAGCAACTGACTGTTCCCAGGTCAGGCTGAACACATTACCTCAGATTTCAGAATGAATTTGTTCATGGTTGCAGTGCACATGTTCAGATTTAGCAGTCTTCAAATATGAATATTTACACCACGAATTACACTTTATTTGTAATGTGAGATATGTTTGCATTTTACATAGTTTTGTTTTTAGCAACGGCTAAATGTATTGGCATTTTCATATTTTTCACAATGTTGCTCTTCTATAAAAAGCTTTATTGTGCAAGCAAATTGCATGAAGAAAAGACTAAATAGCACCTTTCAGCTCAATCATGCAGTGTTTTTTGCTTGGCACGTATCGTCATGCCTTTAAATGGTTTGGTTCCTATTCAGCTCATACTGTGATGGAGGAAAACAAAACAACCAGTGTGACATTGAAGGATTACTGAAAATTTTTGTTTAGTTTCAGCAGATCTACAATAAATAAGTTAATGAAGAGCAAATATATTGCAGTTCAAAAGTTTGAGGTGAGCAAAACAAATTTAAGAAATAATTTTATTCAGCAAATTTTATTTCATTTTAGGAATTTGCTGTAAGATCACATGACATGGGTGACACGGTGGCTCAGTGGTTAGCACTGTCGACTCACAGCAAGAAGGTCAGGCACGGCTGGGTCAGTTGGTATTTCTCTGTGTAATTATCATGTTCTCCCCGCGTTCACATGGGTTTCCTCTGCGTGCTTCTGTTTCCCCCACAGTTGAAAAACCCGGATAGGTGAGTTTAATAGACTAAATTGGCCGTAGAGTATGTGTGTGAATGAGTGTGTATGGGTGTTTCCCAGTACTGGTTTGCAGCTAGAAGGGCATTTACTGTGTAAAACATATACTAGATAAGTTGGCTGTTGGCGACCAGTGATGAATAAAGAGACTAAGCCTAAGAGCTTTAAAGTTTTCGCATTCTATAGCAAACAGTATGGCTGCGTCCGAAACCGCATACTTCCATACTATATAGTACAAAATCAGTATGCGAGCCGAGTAGTATGTCCGAATTCATAGAATTCGAAAATCAGTATGCGAGAAGTACCCGGATGACTTACTACTTCCAGCGAGATTCCGGAGTGCGCATCCCATGCATGCTGCGCTATCCCATGATGCCCCGGGAGCGAATTCATGAATGGAAGTAAAGCGACGCAACTGACGCAAGTAGGTCACGTGACCATGACAAAATGGCGGATGTAGTACGTCCGAATTCCATTCATACTTTTCACATTCATACTGTATAGAACGTACTTTACTAACGGCCGAGCAGTACGTTTAAATTGAAATGCAGTACCTACTGCGTAGTAGGCGGTTTCGGACGCAGCCTATGTGTGTAACATTTGTTTTTTTTTAAATAAAAAGTATTAAAATGTAAACAACTTATAAAAAACATTCCATCATGTAAATTAGTTGTCATTTAATAAGAATATGTCAATAACTCAATTTTGACAAAAATGTAAGATAGAACCTTATAATTCTAAGGTAATGATTTATTGGTTTAATTTATTTTAAAAAGACTACTCATTTTCACTACCAATCAACCCGATTTCTATATTTTTATTGTATTAAAAATAATGATGATGCTATTGCATTGTTTTATTTATTAACTGACAACAAATTAGAGAAATTTTTTGACATCTTTTTAATTATCATTATCATTATTTACTTGTTTATTTAGTTAGTAATTTTTTTAAATGATCAAAAAGTAATATTAAAAAAATGTATATAACAGTTACTATAATGAAAAAATATTATTATTATTATTATTGCCATTTTTTATTAGTTTTTAATGTAACAGTAAAACTATAAAAAATAATACATATGGTTGTTTTCAAACATTCATGTGGGTTTTAACAGCAAAATAAGCCACTCCAAGAACCAGAAAATTATTGTATAGTGCAATAATTTTTTTTAAAACTGTGAATCAGATTTAATTATTTAATTAATTTATAATTAATTTTTAATTAATTTATAATTATTTAAATTAAGATTTAATTTATAAAATCATAACAGTCCTTACAATGTGATTAGAAATGACTATGGTTAATGGCTAACTAATAACATTTCATATACTGATTTCTTATTTATTTTTGGCTATATGGAGCCTGGAAAGTAAATATTACAAACATTATATAATTGTGAGTGCAACCAAATAAAACAATTAGATGACAATAAATAAAATGTATTTAATAAAGTGCATATACAGTTAAAGTCAGAATTATTATCCCTCCTGTGAATTTTTTTTTCTTTTTCATATATTTCCTGAAATGATGTTTAACAGAGCAAGAACATTTTCATCTTTATTTCTCACTCATCATCATGTGTCAAGCAATTATTGTTTGTTATTTTAAACAACTCTTCAGCATTTTGATCTCTCTCTCTCGGTTCGCACTTTGGTTATAAATCTATACTGAATTGTTTGGGAAGCCTTTTACCAATTAGCTGTAAAAACTCCAGAGCGATATAAGCCAAATGCACTTTTTTTATCTTCCGTCTTAATCAGCACCACGAATGCTACAAAAAAGTCGTGTTTCTTTTAGCACTCTGCCCTTAATGTATAATTACATAATTAGTCTGCCACCATTAATTTAATTGCAACCTTCTGATTAGAGGCATTGCATAAGGCCTGTAAAACAATGCGTTATGTGACTGTCATTCCAGCGTGTGTTTGTGTGTGGTCCATCATTACCTGCTGTGTGCTTGTGGTGTAGACCATGACAGCCCAAGGGTTCGGGAAAGAGTCGCCCTGCAGGTTGAGGCACACGTTTTCTCCGGGACCCTCAGGATCCCAAAACAGACTCCAGGCACACCAGCGCACACACTGCATAAACGCTGCTCTGGGCACAGCTGTGGATGTCAGCTAGTGAAATGGAGAGAAGAGAAAGAATGTCGGGAAGAGATATTTTGCTCTGTTTGTCCTGAAATAGCACCGTCTGATGTCTCAAGGTATCGGAACAGAGTGTTGCTCTTTGAATGGGACTAACTTGTGTGGATGGGTTGAAGTAAATTTCACAATTGCTTGGAACAAAATGAAGAAGTAAGCTTTTTTCAGACTGTTAAAATGTGGAAAAGACAGAAAATAAAAGCAATTAAATATATTTAAAGTATTTATAATGTATAAATCTTTATATGGAGACATTTATTTATGTTAACACTTATTAAAGGGGTGGTCCACTTTGATATCATATTTTAAACTTTAGTTGATGTGTAACGTAGCTGTGTGAACATAAATAACATCTCTGAATGTAATACGCTCAAAGTTCAATGCAAAGGGAGACATTGGCTTTTACAGAGTTAGCTTAGAAAAGCCTACAGCAAATAAAGTATAGGGACTACAAAAAAAGTACATTCAGGTTATTCAGATCCTAACGCTTCAGGTTACGGGCATTATCCACACGCATCCACCTTGCGCAGTGAAGAGGTGTGGCCAGAGGCACTGTATTGTTATAGCAGAGAAAGCGCTGCTTACCACAGAAAAGTTCCCACAGAACGTATTCTGTTTCTGTATTTGGGCTTCCAAAGGACACAGCACAAAGACAGAAGTGCTTACAATTTCATTTTAATTATGTTTCAGAGAATTAGAAAAACAGGTATAGCTAGCATTTGACACAGGACAGCTTCCAAAATCTCTCCCAGTTCAGTACTGGATTCGGCTAAAAAATTCCTTAAAGCAGCTCCAACCATAAAAGACAACACTGTGGATTATGAGCCACAACATGTATTTTTATTTGTTAAAATTGATCTATGAAATCCATAGTGTTTAGCGTTAACGGTATGTTGTAGCAAGGATGTAAATAAGGATGTAAACAACGGGAAATGCTGTTTGGCACAATTAAGCTACAAATTCATATTTATCCATCAAACCGCTACAAACAGCCCCAATCTTCAGCAGCGCTGCAGTGTCTCTCTATGCGGCCTCATTCCGTGCATTCCACATCTCAAATAACAAACTCGCAAAAGATGTGAGCGTTTCATATTACTGACAAATGCTTATTGCGAATATGTGAGAGACACTTGTCAGATTTTATTCCTGTCTGATTCAGGCCCAAACTCATACAGCTAAAAGCTACTCTGACTGACAGTATTTACATAGCGCAAAAGCGTGTGCTTGTAGTAGTGTGACGCTTTTCCTGGTGACATGGAACCGATCCACGAATCGCAGCATATTATGTAAGCTGATCAATCAAAGCCTTTCGGAGGAACTGGGAAAAATTTAAAATTGTTTTTATGTTAGCAGAGTAGCTGTATACAATTACAGAAAGATATATAAAAAATAATAATATGAATTTTTTTTTTTTTTTTTTTTTTTTTTTTTTTTTTTACAAATGAAGCATGAGCACACATTGCTTTGCCTCTTATAAACACAACCAAGTTTTAGAAATACACTCTGGACCACCCCTTTAATACTAAGATTAAAATAGAAAATTATAATTTTTTCAATAAATACATTCTTTCTTTGGTCATTTCTACACAAATATTTATAATGTAATTAAGTACAGGAGTACATACTATTAAGTACACAAAATAGCAATAAAAATAAATGAGAAATAGTGTTTTAAATCTGGTTTATACTTGACAATATTTTTATAAATGTATTATGCCTAACATTGATATTAATAATAATAATAATAGTTATTATTATTATTATTAAGGCGACGCAGTGGCGCAGTAGGTAGTGCTGTCACCTCACAGCAAGAAGGTCACTGGGTCGCTGGTTCAATCCTCGGCTTAGTTGGTGTTTCTGTGGCGTTTGCATGTTCTCCTTGTGTTCGCGTGGGTTTCCTCCGGGTGCTCTGGTTTCCCCCACAGTACAAAGACATGCGGTACAGGTGAATTGGGTAAGCTAAATTGTCCGTAGTGTATGAGTGTGTGTGTGTGAATGTGTGTGGATGTTTCCCAGAGATGGGTTGCAGCTGGAAGGGCATCAGCTGCGTAAAAATGTGCTGGATAAGTTGGCAGTTCAATACGCGTCGGCGACCCCGGATTAATAAAGGGACTAAGCCGACAAGAAAATGAATGACTTTTATTATTATAAATAAATGATTATTAATACTTTTATTATTATTATTATTAATATTATTATTATTTACACTTATTTGTAATTATAATAATAATAAAACATTCATTTACATTCTTTCTTTGTCAATTTCTGCACAATTATTTCCAGTACATAAAGTAAGTATTTAACTTTTATATTGTTTAAAATTTGTTTTATACTTGATGCTTAATAAAAATAAAAATAAATAATACTATCAATAATAATAATAATAATAATAATAATAATAATAATAATAATAACAAAATAATAATAATAATAACAGAAAAAACCTGTTCAAGTATTTTTTTTCTTTAGTCTTTTATCACAATTATAGGATATACAGTAATATTATTACATTGATTCCTATTTTAACGTTCCGTTTTTTTTTTTTTTGAAATTGTATTTTAAACATTGCATTTATTAAAAATAAAAACCAAACAACTAACATACTATTATTTCCACAATTCTTAAATACACAATCAAGGAAAAAAATAATTTAAATTATTTCCAAAAATTATTTGATCATAAATATTTAAACATTAATATATTCCATTTAATTATAATTAATGTATTTCATAATCAGCTGAACAATGATCTCTAATTTGAAAACCATGCTGCCAGAAACACTTTTTCTGAACGAAACATCAGCAGCCATAATCACACAAATGAGAAACATTCGATCCTTTTATCTCACAAGTCACAACAAGTATACACCAACTTAGTAAGCGGAGCAGACCGAGTGAAAAAAAAGAACGAAAGATGACTGATAAAAGGCAGAAGTGAGCCTCCTCTTGGCTTTAGCGGTGATCCCTTGAGATCAAGCATTAAAGGCGATCAATAAATGAGCTGGTCAGGCTCAGCTCACCGTAATTAATCATGATGGAAAAAGAGCGAGGCAGAGGAGGAATTATTCAGCCCTTCTCTCTGAGGTTTGATGTATCTGGCCTGTGATATATAGGCTGTATGGTAAATACTCCGCAGTTCAGCAAAGAGTGTTAATACAGGAGCTTTATCTCTCTCACGGAGATGTATTTCACACTTCACAGGAGATTTAGCTTCAGCTTTAGCGACAGGGACAGCAGTTGCTCAGTCTCTCAGATTCGCTGTGCCGCTATCAGCCTTGAGTAAAAAATGTCACAAATCAACTCAATTATGAGCTTTCAGAAGAAACTTGTACTCGGAGAAAGCGCTGTCAGTCCCTTTCAGAACCAATGACAAGTGAACCTCGGCAGAGTGTGACTGTACAAATGACAATACAAATATTTCAACTACTTTCAAATGAAATATATTAATGATACAATACATATTTAAAGATTAAAGAAAACCATTTAAATATTTTAATAGTCAAGTATTGCATATTTATTATTAGTATTGTCATAATATTCATTTTAAAATGCATTACATTCAAAACATATTACAAAACTATAATAAATACAAAAACTTTATTTAATAATTATAATAATAATAATAATAATATAGTTATTAATATATAATATAGTTATTATTATTACTATTATTATTATTATTATTATTATTATTATTATTATTATTATTATTATTATTATTATTATTATTATTAATTATTACTATTATTATTATTATATTTATTTATATTGTGCAATTAGGGATGCACCAAAATTAAATACTTGGCCAAATACCAAAACCAAAAATACTTTGTAATAATTATTTATTATAAAAAAATTTACAAAAACAAAATCAAACAAGCCAATAAAATTACCACATTTTATTGACAGTAAAATTGTATGGACAGTGAATGAGTTAATAGGCGGATGAAAATTTTGTGCATCCCTAGATTAAACACATTATTACACACTCAAACATAGGAGATAAGTCTAAAGGAGGTTATAATTATGTAATTTGTTCCAGAATAACTACAGTGGAATAATAATTAATAATAATAACAATAATGTATTTTATATAGCACCTTTAAAAGTTATGTTATCAAAGCGCTATACATACAAACCAAGACAACATGCATAAAAGATACTACAATGATAAAAGATAAAAACCGATCATTAAAGTGTCTTTCCTGAGTTTGATGAAAAAAAACAAGAATTGGCATGAACATACACATATAGTCGTCGATATCATTGCTCAAAATTTCATGTTAGAAAAATATAAACCATATACATTCAAAAAATGATTCTTTATAAGAAAAAATATAAAACAAGTATTTAAAATATATATATATATATTTAAGACTGTGCTCTATCTAGGTCACCGCTCAAACATCTAAATCTGTGATGCAGATCACCATTTGGCTCATTCTCAAATTATGCTGCAGAAAATGATGATCCACAAACTTGTGGAGTTCACGCAGCTCAAGTGCTGCCTTCATTAAGCAAAAAGAGCTTGTGTGCACTCTTACATTACTGACACCTGGAGAGCTGCATAACACATGCTGGGATATTAACTGGCAACTATATTTCTAAATAAAGCACCAGCAGCTCCAAGAAACACATTCCTTCTAATGGCGCTCTATTCATAAAGGTGTATACTCGGCAGAGAGTCAGTTTTCCTCAAAGGAGAAGGTTCCTTCAAATCCATGCATAATCCTTTGAACGCTTCAGATATTTAAACTGAAGTTCGCCAGCTTTTGTTCAACCTAACATGGTCTGAAGATTGAAATAATCGCTGCTACATAATTTACCCCGAATCCTTCTTGTCAGCTCCCAAGCTCCCCTCTCACTGGAGTCAACACAATTTCATTCTGGAGCGTTTCCCGCTCTGAAAGAGCTTTTGAGGAGATTGATGCTGAATCTCTCTCTGGAGATGACTTTGATTAGAATTATGTCTTTTAT